GGAGGGTATTTTCATTATTATCACTTGTTCCATATTTTAATTGATTTAAATTAAAATTCAACTGTTCTTTGAAAATAAATTCACATTTTCATTCTTAATACTCATTTCGATTTTGAATTCCACTTTAGATTTTAAAGAGATGCTGAAGTGTTCGAGTTACGGACATCGAGTTATATGACGAGCATCGAGTTACTAGAACATCGAGTTACAAAAATTACAACGCCCATATTTTAGAAACCCCGCTCACTTTTGCGAGACCTCGTACAAATTGTAAAAAAATCGCGCAAAGGACGCCGGGAACTATCAAACAATAACAACACACGCTAATAATGCAGAGGTTCATGGGTAGACGCTTATTGGTAAACAGCCTGATGGTCGTCTACCGCAGACGCAGGTAACGACTTCCCGCTTTTAATTTAATGCAGTAGCAAATATACAGTTATTGTGTACTTACAAAAGTTACACATCTGTCACAAGTCTCTATGAAGGAATACTTCTTTAATATGAATTTTCACTGGTGCAGTGACAAAACCTGGCAAAAATTAAATCTTGATTGTACAATTCAGTGTAAAATTAGCATATTTCCGCACATTACGCGATCAGCACATTTACCGGTTAAAATGGCCGTGTAAAACCGATAATAAACGCATTGTAGTGGTATATATTGAATTTCATGGATAAAAACATATATAATCAAAAAAAAACAAACATTTAAGGCATAATTTACGACATTTTTTGCACAAAGGGCCATCATAATATCATTCATGAAAACATGAAATTGAAACCCGGGTACACTTTTTTCCCTGCATGTTCACGGCTGTTCAGAGTGAAATCGTACCGCCAGCGGAGCCATCACAAGGACACACCTAACTCAACGACGCACCAGTTATTTTTAAACCGTACGTAAAGGCTGGTAGGTGCCTCCTATTTGGATAAATAATCACTATAGATTTTTCAAATTTCCAAAAAAATGATATCGATGAATAGTAATAATAACACTAGAAAAAGTAAATAAAGCAGTTGAATAAATTAAGACTCGGCAACCAATGTCTCAACATTCAAATAGGTAGACATACAACACCTAAAACTCTCGTATTGATAACAGAATTCGTGAGTATCAGTTATATACTGTTTGACGAGATTCATTTCATATTACGTCATGTAAAACATACGAACAAAGAAATTTACTTCTTGATAACACATTGACGAGAGAAAAAAAAACCGAATTCTTCGCAGTCACGAGTACAAGATAGAACATTATTTCATATTACGTTAGTACATTGAAACAAATTTATGCATAAGACAGCAACTTCCAGAACTAACACAGTGATCCCAGTCTTTAAACTTGAATAAAATTTTGTTAATTAATTAATTAATTGATTAGTTAATTAATTAATTGATTAGATTTTCTTCTTTCTTGTGACCGAATTTCATTACAAATATTAATTTTTTATTCTTACATTTGTGGTTTCAACACTTCTAGTGACTTACAGACCATGCCGTACCTTTTTTTGTCAGTGTTATAAATATTATTATTATGGAACACTTTTTCGTGAGTACCTTCTTTTAGACTTACTGATAAAACAACCCGGGTTAAAAAGTAAACTCACTGGGATTCGTAATCGTAATACCTATTTTCATTATATCAATTATATCCCGTAAGTATCAATTTGGCGTCCATGTGTGACAAGGCCAGTATAACGCATGCGCAGAAATAATGCGGCTATACTCCGGTTCGATTCTTTTGGTGCGTGAATATATGCAAACATCACGTAAAGCGATTGATTGTTTGTAATCTCGAAGAATCCCGAGGGACCTCTCGGATAATGCTCGAGCACGCAACCTTGAAAGAAAGAAATGTGTAAAGTTTTGTCAAGGCACGCTAATCCATTAAACGTTTTTTTTTGTACAAATTACAGGAAAACCTCGCGGATTTTATGATTAAAATGCGTTTAAAGAACGATATGCATTCTAAACGTGTATTATTGAGGTAAAAATAGTTTTATCTTCTTGTTTTACGCGAAATGAGAGATGAAGCATTCAACAACCATGCAAGGATGAAACTGAAAACCCATTTTCAAGGTTGACTACCCAAATGGCCCCAACTGAGTACTCCGTCACGGTTTTTAATACAGGGAAAAAGTCAAGACTTGCGTCGTCTCCGCGACAGTGTTACACATCGGTCACGTGGTTAGGATTAAGCCAATCAACACTCATGAAAAGGACGAAGCTTGATATTGACCGTAGTCTCTAGACGAACATATTAATTTTCGCTATTATTCGCGGATAGATACATATTTTGATTTCTCTAATCACGTGCTTTTTAAAAAAATATTAATGTCTGAGTTCATTGTCTCGCGGTTCCGAAAACTATTATTGTTCAAAATTTAATTTAGCCCTTGTCGTGTTACCTTTACAAGTTCTTGGGTCAAGCCACTCCACGAATCTCAACTGCGTTTGCCATCGAATCAACAGTGACACAGAAATATATATGACCTGTTTAACCTTATATGTCGCGGTTTACTATGAGTTGGCTCCAACAGCGTAACACGTTTTAAATTATTATATTAGGCAGTTGAGTTACCCATAATGCCTTTTGAACGACGGGTCATGTTGGCTCATTAATGTGACCAATTAAAGCGTCACCGCAGTCTGGCGTATTTGGGGGCGTTTTCGCTTAGACTCTCAGTTTGTTTTTATTTATGCATTTGTAATGTTATGACATAGTTAGCAACAAAACGAAATCAAAGTGAAATAAAAACAAAACAAAAAAACACGTCCAATTAATACGGAATTTGCTCAGCTGATTTGTCGCTTGTAAAATTACCAAATATATAATTAGTATATTTTTAAGGTTTGGAAGTTCGTGGGAAAACAGGCCGGACAAAGTTTTTATTTTTTTTATTTTCCCATCTGCTTTAATTGTATTAAATCATTTCTGATTCTCTTTAGCATATAATAATCATATTGATCTAGAAGCATTACAAACTGTAGTTTCTTAGTAGTATGCATTTTGTAAAAAAAAAAAATGATTGCGCTTTGCTTTATGGATTAATTTAAACAATCTCCTGCCGCTTTTGGATTTTCTCTAGAACAATCCGATTTATATTTTAGAGGTGTGGCGGGCAGTATCCTCGCACATTGAAGAGAGACGCCAATATCTCGCAGTTCACCGGTTGTCTGCGTAATAAACTGTGTCTCAATACACTGAATGTTAACGCATGAGGAGAAAAAAGAGTGCCACGTCGCATAAGCACGTGACATCACCGAAGTAGTCGCCATTTTAGTTTACTCGTTTCATATCATTATGATGATATTAGACGCCGCTAACCCAGAATTACTCGAGAATGCACCCATTAACGGTCATTACGTCACGGATAAAAACCCGAGAAAACTGAATAAAGGATTGAATTTCATAGGCTAGGCCGACCCGGTGCGTTAATTTTCGCCCGTCTCTTTTCGGGTGATATCGCATTTGTTTCCACATGCGCGCTTTCTGTGCACTGCGCGTGTACATTATTATTTTTCATCTAAACGACTCGGTTGATGTAGCGTGTATCTATCCCGCGGAGACGATGCATGGCTGGAAATCTTCGCATTTTCGCGGAAGAGTACATTTTCTCTTAGTTGACCTCGCGGTTCTTAAAAGTTGGGTCAGATGGCAACCAATATTTTCCATCATAACTACGGTTCTGGTCATGTGATAACTGATAATTCCTCATGGCTAAAAAAATATGATATTCTGAAAAAATAGAATTTTTTAATACATTTTGATTTATTCATCGTACTAGCTGCAGATTTAACGTTTCTTTAGACACGTAACGGTTTTCTTATGTTTATAAACAGCTTTTCTGATTATATTATCCCCACAAAAATGATAACATGGCTGTAAACTGAGTTCTTGTTCTCCGATCAATAGTGTGTCAATGGATACTACTAGCTCCGTGGTTTAATTTTAAGGTGCGGTCTCGTTTTTACCGAGCGTTTTTTTTTTGAGCGAAATTCACGAGGTGCTTTACCCGCAAGATCATAAATAAACAATCCACCTATAGTGCTGGTAACCATATACCCTATGTTATGCGGCTAAGGCGACATGGTGGTCGATAGACGCGATTTTATCAAAGGGAGTATACTATACTGTGTTCTCACCGAACATTTAGTGAGAATCATTAAAACAGTTTCCGCGTCAGTCATGTGCGCGTGCGCCTCGACACCGCTCTCATATGACCTCACTTCAGCCAACACACAGGCTGGGCCTATCCGATGACGTCAAAATACGTGAGTTCGCCCACGATCTTTACAAACTGTTATCAGTTTACGCTACTGCCAACTTTTCTGGAAACCCGAGTGTGTAAACGAAATCATGATGGCGTCGAAACGCCTCGCTGATTAAACGGGCTAACCACAACTAAAAATGTTAATTTTTAAAGTAGCCTGAAAAGAAGGTGAATTGTGGAGCCGTGGCCTTTGGACAAACATATTATAAGCGCTCTTTTCTTGTGCTGAAATTGCGTGCGACAAAGACTGCAGATGCAACTGTCTTTTGTTGAACGGTTTAACCGGTCACCGTTCGCATTGTCAACCCGTGTGTAATGAAACGTTGAAAAGCTCGCAGATGCCGTGGAACAAAGCTAGGTCCGTGTGTGCAGCATAGAAATGTCCACGCGCGCTTTTTTATATGGAATTTTGAGGGCTGGTTGGCGACAGCCGAAAAAAGCGCATTACAAATATTGCGAGGTTGCCTTCTGTCGCAGTGAAAATTCAGCAATGTGGAAATTTAGAGCGCGCTTCGTTCACCGGTGAAATGAAAGCCTGCATCCGCACTTTGATAAGAAAATTAAAATGCGATTATACGAACGGACGCCATGGTCAATATTTTAGTTGCAAAAGTTTTTAGAAATTCCCCGTTTTTGCGGACTCCCATACAACACTGCGTAGGATTGACCAACGCATGCGCAGTAACGTGAAACCGCCTAATTAACTATTCGTTTTTGCGCTGAATTTTGTGACTGGCCTTCACTCTCCGAAAATCACCGCACGCTCGGCGAGTTTTACACTGTGAACCCCCAAACGGACCGGCAATCGCATACCAACTATGTCTAACGCGAAGTACAAGGATTGGATTTTAGAAACAATCGACTCACTGCGGAGCCGAAAAGCCCGACCAGACATCGAGCGAATTTGCCACATGGTCGAGCGCAAACATGGAGTAGCGGCTGCTGAAACTGAAGCAGAGTTGGAGCGCTTGGTTGACTCGGAAATCGTGATAAAAGTCGATTACAAAGGAAGTACAAGTTACCGCAATGCGGCTAAGTGGAGAAAAAGCCACCTCAGCGGCAATGTGCTCAACTCTGCCGAGACAACGCGAAGTTTGAAGATAGCCGTCAGGAAACTGACCGAGGAAGATGGCCGAAACTCGGGCACCGGAATTCGCGAAATTGAAAAGTTTTTACTGGCCGATGATCATACCACGAAACTCATAAAAACAAACTTGCAAGTGGCTTTACAAAGGGAAGTGGACGCTGGACGCTTAATTAAGTTGAAAAATGGAACGAACTATACACTGAAGGACAGCGATTCGCCAAAAAAAGCCGGTAGACCAGCCAAACGGAAGGTAATAGTACGCTGCGATTTTTGTTAGACAAGCGGTTATTTGCATAGTCGTTGAGCTCAGATAGGGGTATCCCTTCGTAAAATACACTCAAGTTTGAAGGTCAGAATTTGTCGCACTTTAAGAAAATGAGGCGGAAATGTAGCCGGATTATTGTCGATTGTTGCCCATAGTGCATGTTGTTGATTTGAGGACTGTATTTCGGGTGAAATCGCACCATTTGTGAGGCCTAGACAACCCGCAAAAAACGACTAAGCCACTTCGCACTGGAATACGTGCGTGTCGCATGAATAAATTTGCATATTGTTTTTAGTAGATGCTTTTGTGGCTTAAATTTCATGCCGGGTTTTCGTCCTTTCTCGACAACAAGCATTCACCGCAGCGATAAAAACCTTTCTAAAATAAACCGTGCCTTTGTTTTGCCACTGCTTGTGTGAAAACTCCGTGACAAATTTGTCGTAAAATTCGGCCGAACAGTGAGCGTATCGTTCGAGGTTTGTCAACATTGCGATGTGCGCACATTCGTATTACGGTCCTTTTGCTGGCTGAAGTTCGTGCTGTACATATTAATATGCGCAATTGTTCTTTCAGCGCGGAAAAATGGGGCAGACTTTCTGTCACGAAATCTCCAGCGCGTTACGAAAATTGATAAGGTTTTGCATTTTTACGTGCGGTTACAGAAGCGCGTGTCAAGCGTTTTCTTTTGTTTTGTGGTTGATTCTAGTTTGTCTTGCAAATTCCATGGCAATGAGCGAAGAATGTTGTTTTTGTTTGTATTCTTTTTATTTGCTTTTGCGATATTTTTCAAAGACATTTGCTAGTTTTTCCATATTTTAAGTTTTTTTATTTTATTTATTATTTTTTGATATTTTTAAATTAACTGCATTATGAACATGTGAATTGAGAACATGTTTTCAGTTATCCTATTAAATTTTTTATTTCAGTCTTTTTGTAAAAAAAAAAAGCCAACAGGAGATATTAGTGTGACCATAATTATTTCCCATATTGAATTAGATAATAGACGGTAAATAAAATTAAGAACTCATACCTATATTCAACCTTGACCTCGACAATTGGGTCATGTGATTTATGCCTGCGAGCAGTATTAGGCCAGTGCACTCAAGTTATTATTTTGCAGTGTATATTTGTCGATGATGTAGATAAAACTAACAGTATCGAAAGTATTTTGTAAAAAATTACCAGTATTTTACTTCAGTTATAGCTGTGATGCATGCCTTATTATAATATTATAGCAGTGAAAATGAGACCTATTCTTCTTAACCTTGAATCGGGTCATGTGACTATGAATCTATTTACTTCTATCACGTCTGTATCCTGTAATACAAAATTTATCGTCATTTGAATATTACCAATCACTGATTCAATTAATATATAGACTGAAATAAATTTTCAATTCGTGATAGGTAATTTCGTAAAATTTTAAAAGTAGGGTGTTGTATTGTGACAGGTTCTAAATTAATAATCGCATATAAATCATTGAAAGTAAGTTTATGTGTACCTTGGGTGGTCATAGTGTTAAGGTAGCTTGGGTATTCTGCTACCGTCAGCTACCACATGAAAGATTATGCTGAAAATCTGTTTGTTGCTTAATATTTCAATAATTTTGAATGAATGTTTATTATGACTGGATTTAAATAGTGAAGTTTTAATTTAATGTCCGTTTTAGGGAATAAATTAATGAACTAATGGGGTTCACACTAAGATTCATCATACCATTTTTGCTATACGAAAAGAATGAATGATTTGGGATTTATGTACACTTCTATTAGAGATGTGCTTCTAATAGAGGAAATACAGCATCTGTATATACTGGAAATGATACAGTATTTGTCCAGTTTGCTTGTATAATAGTGGCCTCAAATTATGGCTGCACATTTTGAGGGTTTCACCGCCCACTCCAGGTACCCTGGGCCATATAGTGGATTTCAGTCAACACTAACTAGATGAATCAGATTGGCTGACTTGACATAGCAGCAAATGGCAATCTTCAAACATGCTGCATTCAGTTTTCAGTTTGCAGAACTGATATATCAGCCAAGCTAGCCATTTAACAAGTATTATGTTTCTAAGATTCGTCTGAGAGTGCTGTCGTATCGACCGCTTGTGTATGGTTAATGGGTGTTTTTAACCGTATTATCTTGACCCATCTGGAGTGACATGGGAGAGTCGCATAGATTCAATGAATGTAGATTCATGGCTAGCAATACCTCCATTGTTTTTTGCCATAATTTAGAACCAGGAAAAAAAATGTAATGATCATTTTCTAAAATTGATGTGTACACGTTTTGACTCTTGCGTTTGAAACATACGATGCAAATCTTTGTGGTTATTTTAATTTTAAATTTGCTTTGACCAAAAACATGAATAATTTTGTTTTTAGTGGAATTTTTTTGGAATTAAAAATTTGTTAGGAATAGTTTGAAACAGTTTTGTGTCCCTCTTCCCCCTCCCCATGCTTTAGTATTGTTCTTAGTGGTAGGGATCAAGTCAGTACATGACAGACATCATGGTGTGTTAACAGATGGCTTTGAAAGCAGATGTGTAATGGTCATGGTAAAGACTGGAGAATAAATTTCTCTAGCCACTGTTATCACTGCTTTCTGGATGAGGTGATTACCTTTTGCTCTTGGGTTAAAGGTCGGGTCATCAGCGTCCAATGATGTTAGACATTGACACTATAATTGTTAGACAGGCGTGTGGTAGTGTGCTATAGGACTAAAGATCTAATTTGATGTGAATAGATTGTGAGTCACCATGGCAACAGTTTATGCTCAAATAAATGACGACAATTGCCTCTGAAAGGAGTCTGTCTAACAAGGAACAATGTTGGGCGGGTGAAGTGAACGTGACATTTTAATGCCAGGTATTAAAATTCAGTAAAAATGTCAAAACTGATTTTTTTCCTTTTCGTTCCAAATCTGGATTCTGGAATTCGCGGCTCTGTATAATCTGCTTGCCAAACGCAAGGGAAATCTCCTACCCTACTAACAGTGACCTAGTTATACAACGATTACTGTGCCTGGTTTCAGTAAGAATTGATTTCCCCAAAATTTACATAAAAGACTTTTGAGAATTATAAGAAGAAAAAACATGAAAATGTTGTGTAAAACTGATGTTTTTCTTAAAATTTTGATTAATCTTCCGTAATTCACCTTGGGAGATTCTGACTCCATCTATCCAGCATAGCAGAATGACAAATTTTCTCATGAATTATTCATGAGCTAATGATATGTAGTGACATCATCAGAATCACTCCCCAAGTAGCCAATTGGAATACTTGATGTTGTAAATATGCATAAAGGCTTTCAATCGTTTTTGAATTGGAAGTTTTAAACTTGTATCAATAACTACACAAATAAAATACAAGATAGAATTAGATATATATTAACGAAAGGGACTTATTACTCTATATTTTAATTTCTGTGGTAATTATGCAAACAGGTATTATCCTAAAATGAGTAATATTTAATTAACTCTTTAGTTGCAAGATTTTGATGCAACATTATTTCACATTCTTTGTAGTTTATAAAAAAATAACTGGTATGAACAGAAACTGTCATGTACATTGTATTAATGTAAATTTGTTCGTGCCAGACTCTGTGAAAAATTTTCTGAAATTGTGTTTCCTAACTAAACAAACATACAGATGAGTACGAATCAAATGTACTTGAAATGTTTGTTTTAATATTGGTTAATTCTCAATTTAGGGATTGTGTAATTAAAATAAAGTGTAAAATAGAGCGTTTCCAGTAACCTGACCTTGACTAGGTTTTCCGTACTGTAAAATACTTTATTTTCCCTTGCAATCAATTTTTTGCTATTTTCGCTGAATGAATGATTCAGTGAAAATAAAATCCAGCAAATATACCTTTTTTCCTATATTTTACATTCAACTCGTCAAAAATCTGTGAAAATAAATTCTATACAAAAACACCCAAAGTCTTTTCAGCAAAAATTAAATTCCAGCTAAAATACAGTATTTTACAGTATATTGTCTTTATTCTCAAATACGGAGCTACATCACAATCCCCCAAACGTTGCCAGGACCAATCACAAACAAGAATAGACAACGAATTTTCGGATTAACATCTCTGTTTCCCCCATCCTAATGAAAAAATCTTTTGTCTTCTGACTTCCTGTTCCGACCCATCTTTGAGAATATGGCTAACTTAGAAATTGGTAATTGGAGAGTGCTCAATTTGTATTTCTTTCTAATGATCCAAAATGTTGGCCTCCAAATGTAAATTGTAATTTTCAAAATGCTCTTTTTATAAAATTTTATTGTTAACAATTGTGTGATTGTGACAAAAAGTTATTACATTACTACTATCCTATTTTGGTTTTGAATGTATTCAAGAACACACTAGTCTGTTGGACTTAGCTTTTTCATATAGCCAGTTGTTGATGAGAAAGTGTATAGAAAAGTGAAATGTTATTTCTTGTAACTTGATTACAAAAATGTTCCAATAGAAAAATGGGGGTTATCTCAATCCCATTGAGTGAGAAACTCCATTCAGTTGAGGCGTGTGTGGTCTGTATATAAAAACAAATTTAAAATCAATCTTTGCGCAAAAAGAAACAAGAGGAAAACTTAAAATATCCAAGAAAAGAATGAATGTCTGTACAGTCACTTGATGTGATCATCTTTGCGTATAATTCCACCATTACTTGAGCTGAACTTTAATATTATCCAGATTACCGGGGGATGATTTTGCATTGTGAAAAGAAACTGACACTCAAGTACAAATCTATGATTAGAAACTTGAATGAAAATGGCTACAATTTCTTTTCCAAAAATGAGCAATTATTGCACGAAAATGGCAGATAATCCACCCCACCCCCACATCACAATTGGTTTTTCCATGCAGAATAATTGGATCATAGTTGATACATAATATAGTTTCCAAATATGCTGTTAGCTTACATTGTATTACCTTGCTCTGTTATACTAGATCGTTTTTCTTATCAAGACCGTTATAGCGCATTTGCCTTATACGATACCTTATACACTTGCATAAATCGCAGTGTTATTTCTAAAAATCCAATTTTTGGTTTATCTACAATTCTGTTAAAAAGTTCTTTCTTATAGTATTTTTCGTGGTTCATCACCAAGTTTTTAGGTAGGAAGTTTTTCTCAGGGGGGATTATGTCATCTGCTCTGTATCTATTTCTTTATTGCGAAATAAAAAAAATTATGAAAAAAAAAAAAAACAAGTTGAAAAAAAAATATTTCTGAGGTGCCTCAAAATTAATAGAAATGCATTTGCAGTTTCTGAAGAGATCTTGCATGGATGAAGTTTAGAACTCTCAGAATCATGCGGAAAACACTTTTGTGTCATAGTCAGTGTTATAGTGAACAAGGTTATTTACCACCATGTTGCAATTTTCTGTAAATTTATTTTGTAGTCATTGTTGCACAGTAGCAACGCAATAGTTTTCCTCGACAAAATATGTGTTTTCCACTAACTTTAGATGAAACCTAATTTTCCATGACAACATTTTTGAAGAAAATATTAGAAAATTCTGTAAGTTTATTTTATGAATGGTTTTCTTTTGATGAGTTAAAAACTCTGAATAGTTTAAGCGGTAATATCCTGTCCTGTGTTATTAAATGACTCTAAGCCAGGAAAGAAAAGCCATCTGATCTGAAAATGTTCATTTTTATAGTAGAACATGGTCTTTGTCAAATATTGATGAGGCTAGAGGAATTTTGTCATCTGTCATAAAATAACCTGTATAATTTGTACTGTTTTATATGAAGACCACTACTTGCTGGTAATGGAAAATTATGTCTATTTGATTAAAAATGATTGTAGTTATAGAAAAATACATAAAAAATGTTAAAACATTTTTGGCGGGGGAAAAAAGATGATGTTCAAAGGGTTAATACTGATATTGCTGGAACACATTAGACAGAATGACATTTCTCCAAAATGGAAGACGTAAAAATGTTTCATGAATTCAAAAAATAGAAATGTCAACATTAAAATTTTAGTTATGTTTTTCGCTGGGGTCTCTATTATAAACTATAACATAGTAATCCTGTTTTTGGTTGAATACTATTTGGTGCCTGTAGATCTCAATGGACCTTATTCGTAAAAAGCTGCCAAGGTCTTTTTGAGAGTGACAGAGCCACATGACTTGTTTTTGCTGATTAGCGACAGAGCCACATGACTTGTTTTTGCTGATTAGCGACAGGAAAAATGTCCTTAAAATGTTCTGAAATTGTGATGTTCCCAACATTTTAGCAGTGACAACAACACATGGAGTTTGTGCTTGCTTCTCTGGAGGTTATATAGAATGGATTAGGTTCCACTGACTAATGTAATCGCATTACTGGCACCATACTCTCTGTTGAATCTTTTTTTTTGATAGCCAGCCTGAGAGTTCAGTTATTCTCAGATTGTTGTGGTTTGTGCATCCATTCAGCATTAGTGAAATCATGGGTTCTACCTCTAGAGTTTGAAATTTGCAGTATCACACTTCATTCTCATCATGTGGGAGACAAGGATCATATTGCAGTCCTTAATTCTAGTGTGTCAGAATCAAACACATCTACACCAATCACAAGACATGCCCACTCATGCAACCTGAACTATTGCTGACTAATTTGCATTCCAAGTGTCTCTTTCAGGTCTCCTGCAAATATACAATATGTATGATTTGCAGCCAAAACTTTTTATCAATGTGAAAGTGAGGCTTGGATAAAGGCCAATTAAGGCACATAGATTACTACTTCCAGTCCCAGAGCTATACTTTTCAAAAATTTGTTGCCCACTGAACTACCAGATAATTACAAAGAAATTTTTTTAAATTGACATGCCAAAATGCAAGGACATTTATTTATCTGTGTTTACTAGAGCCAAGAACATGGTCTTTGACATGGTAGCCCAGCTTGGCTTCCAAGATTTTATTTTTTATTTTAAGTGCTCTATTTGCATAGTCAGCTGCTAACTCTGCAAGAAGAGTTCTTACTTCCCACTTGTAAGGAAGTACAATTAATTAGGAGAATGGGTTGTTGGAGAAGTACGCTATCGGCTCGCTATTTTGTTGTTCTCTATGCATGTAAAAATACACTCGTGGTAAAGAATGATCACTGCAGGTTGATTAGATCTTTCTCTAATAACGGGTGTCCATTGTAGTATAATATTTGCCCAATCTAAATAATTTGAAATACTATATTTACTCTATTAAATGCATGACTTCAGTAGAAGAGTGTTTTGTATGCAGCATTATTAAAAAGTGACTTTATATAGACACACCTCTGTTGTAAGCGTATGTGTATGTTAAAAAAAAAAAATGCATACACATAGATTTTGGAATAAATGAACTGAAAACTTTTGCTTTTATTTCTACAACCTGCACTGCATGGAGAATAAAATTTTCTTGGTTCTCTGGTGACTAGCGCCCTCTACAAATATGTCAAAGAGATGTTTATAAATATATTCACACAATTTTTATATTTTGTCAATAAATTTGATCAAGACCTGCAGCCACTGGGAACGTGTGTCCATTCAAAATAAATAAATTGATTATAAGAAAAATGTGTTGCACAAAAATGTTCAAATATGGATTAATATTAAATATGCAAATTTCTGTATTTCAGAGAATTAAAAAGACTCATGGTCCTGATTTTGAGCAGGAGCCACTGTCTAAGGTTGCCTGCAAGGAAGAGGTCACTGACACTAAATGCGACTACTGCTTGTTAACTGCTGAATGTAACAGAAATGGCAAGACTGAGGATTTATTGGTGTGTAAAGACTGCAATGCAAAGGGTGAGTAAAGAAATAATAAACTCACAAAGCTAGTTTGAGGCGAGAATGAACCAACACACATCTTTACAGGGTAATAAACAAACCCGGTAGAACAAACCCAGTAGATAGATCTTCATCTTTTAACACCTCTTTAAATGCCATATATATTCTGGAGTTGTTATGTCAGTGATCGCATGACACAAAGTAATTCTATTGTAAATTATTTACAACAGAATCGCTTATCCTATACGGCAATGGTTACATTATTTATCATATTCAGATTTTGTTCACTTCACGTCAACTTTACAGGCTTAGGGGTGAACTCGGCCTACTGTTCAATACACTTTTTTTTTTTGATCTCTTGTAATAAATTTAAATTAGAGATTTAAATGTGAAATTGTCAAAGTAACATTTCGTCCTCCGCAAAAATACTGGCAGGTTAGAGACGTGTAGCTGTCATCATTGTAAAATTTGTTGCTTTCCATAGAGTACTCCTACAATTTCTGATTCCTGACAGACACCTTGTAAGTCTGTTTGCGCATACGTAACCCACCAGGCAATATGCTATGGTAGAACAGAAATATAAGAAGTAGGAAAAAAAACGTGCAACCCCGAAAGAAGTCATATTTAAAACAGTTTTGGAAAAATAAATGGCGTGAGCATCTGTGGGTACAAAATGGGGTTTCTAGAAGACCAATATAATACAGCTAAAAAAAGTTGAATACCAATTAAAAAAAAATTATTTTTTCTGAGAAAATAAAGTAAAAAGATGTGTTACGTGCGTGTTTCGCTAAGTTAAATACGACCGTGACATTGTTTAACTCCTAAAATACCTCCAAAATTATGATGCATGTTAGTTTTTAGCTCCGCTGTCGACTTTGTCGAGCGAAGCTTATCATACGAGTGATTGTCCGTCGTCGTCCGTGTCAATGTTTTACTTTTTTGACTTCTCCTTGAAAACTGCAAGCCTGAATGCTTTTATACTTGGTGTATATGTACCTTGGGTAGACCTCT